TCGTTTTAAAATAATTTTCGATTCAGTTTTTATTCCGTTCGAAAATTTAAAATTATCGTTTTTATTCTGTTCTCGTTCTTAAAATAAATTTCGTTTTAGTTTTCGTTTTCGTAAACGAAAGGCTTTTTTTTTCGTTCTCGTTTTTGTTCTCATGTACAAAAATATCACTGGTGCTCAGTTTCTCCACATTTAACCTTAGGTGCTTCTGATCTTTCTGATTCTATCTTCTTGTTCCTCTGCTGATTTGTTATGGTAATAACTGATAATCTTTATTGTGCATTAGATAGAGGTGGAGACATTAGGGCTATTTCTCTTGACATTTCTAAAGCTTTTTATAAAGTTTAACATGCTGTTCTTCTCCATAAGTTTTCTTCTTACAATATATCAGGTGATAACTTTAAAATTATTGAATACCAATGGTATTCAATAATCTTACCTATTCTTACAATTAGCTTACCAATGGTAGTATTAATGTTGTCCTTAATGGCAGCACACTTCAACATGGGGCTCACAGTGGCTGGTGAACTTTAATTCAGTAAAAACTCAATTATTTTAGCTAATAAAGCTAATAATACTAGATTATCTTCCTATATTTATGAACGGTAATGTACTTGAAGAGTCATCTACCCTTCATCTTCTAGGATAAACTCTTACTTCCAATCTTTCTTAGAAACCATATATCAAATCAATTGCAAAATTAGCATCTGCTAAGACAGGCTTGGACAGAAATGGCGTGCGATCGAGGGCTATTGCTGACCACGTAAATGATTTTATTTTTTGACAACTTGACCATGATTGTTTAATAAACAATATTTATATGTTTTGATGAGTTAAAAATTTCAGAAATGTTCTGAATGTAGAAACGCTAAGCTAAACTTAAACTAGGAAAAAAATTAAAAAAAAACTAACGAAAAAAAACCAAAAAACTAACAAAAAAAAATTCCTAACGAAAAAAGAAATAATATAAGTTCTAAAATGAAAATAAAAACTTAAATTTAAAGCAAAACTTTTAGTTTGAAATAAACGTTATAAAAACTTATCTTTTTAAGCGTTATTAAAGTTACGCAAAATGTTTTTAAATTAAGTAACAAATTACTACTAATGATTAGTTTAATAAAAGAATAAATTTTATTAAATTTATTAAAAAGTGTTTTATATAATATTTTTAAATTGTATAAACATTTATTTTGTCAAAAAAGTTGCAAAAAAAATAATTGTTTAAAAAATTAACGTAGTCTTTTTAAAATAGTAATTTTTACTAATTTCATGCTCTAATTAGTAAGTCTATTTAAAAAAAAGGTTTTGAACTTTTTTATTTGTAAAAATAGAAGAAAAAAAATAAAATAAATAAAATGCGCCTGCGATTTAAATTAATTAACTGCCAACAAGCTTTTTAATTTAATTTTAATTTGAGCATAACAACTTTATTAACTAGCGCTTCGTGTAACGAATTTAAAAATTATTATAAAAGATTTAAACTCATTTCTAATAAAATTGAAAAAAAAAAAGAAAAATTGTTTACAAAAAATAAAATGTTTATTTCAAACATTTTTAAAAATTGTAAGTTTAATCATAAAAATTAATCATATGAAAATTACAAAATGCTTTAAAACTTTTTCATTAAATCAACAAAATACATGCTTATATAAGTAAATAAAGTTATTTTATATTCTTGTGTAATTCACATAAAATGTGTAAAAGTTAGTAGGCACAAACTTATTCACAAATTAAAGTAACTTAAAAAAATTCTTTCTAAAAATAATGGTTTAAAAATGTTTTAGGAAGACATAAGAAAATAGTTTCAAACGTTTAAATTTATCATAAAAAATAAATGCCTACATAAAAAAACTTATTTATAACGTTTTTTATTAATTTGCACAAGCGTTTATGTAAACAATAACTATAATTGATTTTATGGTTTTATTTAAAGCCTTTGCGTAAAGTAAAAAACTTTAGAAAAGATCAACGATTAAAAGATATTTATAACGTAACACTTTTTTTATTGCATTCAAATTGTCAAAACATCAAAATAGGCATGGTCAAGATGTAAAGAAATAAAAATATTAGCGTGGTCAGTTACAGAGTGCGATCGCACACCATTCCTGTCCAAGCCTGCTAAGGTTGCATCTCTTTATTGTGCTTGCATCTTTCTTACTCTGAATTCTATTCTTTATTTCTATAAATCTCAAATCAGAGATTTACTCTTCCAGTAATTTGTTGGAAGTGAAGATGTTGAAACAAAAATAACCATGAAACTTATTTTAACCTTCTGAATGAAATGAGCACAATCAGCTCATTTTATATTGTTAGCTAGAGAGAAGTTTTTTTTACAATACTGTCTATGAATAATTTACTGAATAATGTGAACTTGTTACAAAAAGTTTTTTCAAATATTAAACCCTCAAAATATATTGCATGCTTTTACAATAAAGAGTGGTACATGGGTATGTGCTTGAGGTTTGCAATGAAAACCAAGATGTTAATGAGAATTTCTTGCATAGAAATAAATTAAGTTTATAATAAACTAATGATGAAGTCAGTTTTTGTCCATCTGACAAAGTAATATGACAAATAATTGCTCCAACCATAAAGGGAAGAAATGCTTATGACTACAATTGTGCTAATTATGAATAATCATAATCTAAATCAGAGATAAAGAAATTAATGTATTTTTGTTTCATGTGTACATGCATTTCTTTTTTCACCTTTTTAACTTTGTATTTTAACTTTTTTCGCAATATAATATAACTTGCATTATTTTTTAGCTTTCTTTTTAAACTAAAAAAGCATCACACTCAAAAGCTAAAATTATGTCATAAAATAGAGTTTAGGTTTTTAATTTTTTTTTGTCTATATATAGAACTTTCATAGTAAAAAGTTTCATAATTTATTTCAACTGTTATTTTCTATGCAAAGTGAATGTAATTTATCAAATTTAAAAAATATATATATTTTAACAGGCAGCTGCAAATTTATGTGTTAAAGTAACTTTTAACTTTTTTGATTTTCAGCACAAGTGGTTACTCTAAGTACTTTTGTAGTTTTAAAAACTACAAAAGCTCTTTAATTATTTATTATTGCTGTTTTTTTTTTACTTTTTTTTTGCATAATTTTTTTGACAACTTTTTGAAAATTTTTTCTGGTATTTTTCAAGAACTCATTATTTGGAGTATATTCTGAAGCTTCTCTTCTCTCATCAAACTCTCTATCATATCTAGAATTAATTTACTGCAAGAACAGCATTATAGAATTTCTTATGAAAAAATATTTTCTAAAAACAAGAAATATATTTCTTGTTCTAAGAAATAATTTTTTTTAACTATGGTTAATGGATTTATGATTTTGCTGTGAGTTCTGATGAGTTCTTAACATCTTTTGAAAGATTTTACAAGCTTTGAAACTCATTTTTATCCAAATGTCTGAGAGAGTATCATCTGTAGGCATCAAACTACGACCTAGAGAATCAATAATTAACAAAAATTAATACAAAAGCAAAGTTTAAAATGACACTGCTATTTCTATTGTATATGACATTTCTATTGTAGAATCAGAAGTTGTCAAAACCGCCTAAAAGAGAGAAATGTAGTAGTCAAATGTAGTTTTAATAAACCGCAATGCCTAAAAGAGAAAAATGTAGTCACCCATTGATCTCTTTGACTATTTTTTTACTCAGAATAAAAACCTAATTTTAAGAAAAATCAACTTTAATTTCATGTAGCAAAATATCTTTGAAATAGCTCCATTTTTGTTAATTTTTATCCAATGGTCTGATTTATTTCAAGAAATACAACTACAAGCTGCGCAATTTAACAATAACCTTTGAACCTCTCAAAATTCTAAATGTACATAATTTTAAAATTTTAATAGAAATTTATATATTTTGTTTTTGCATGTTAAAGTAATACAACTTACCTTACTTAACTTTTTATGGTTCACCAGGTTCCTGCATTTTTTGAGCACCAATAGAGCTGCTTCTCCAACCAGGTGCCCTTAATATTCAGGTAAGTAAATTGCAAAATCACTGTCTGATTGTTTACATCAACACCATCCCAGATAGTTGATTTTTTGGCCTAGAGATTTTATAGCTACAGCAATGTGAAGCTCTCCTACATGATGGTAGGAGGTTAGCAATAATAAGGGTTGGTCATGAAGCTTAGTTAACCTTGTACAAGTGCTTTTAGCCAGTGTTTGAAGTGGGTGAACAAGTGTTTGAAGTAGGTGAACTGTATGAGATCAGAAGAATCTAACTAATCTAAAAATTTTAAACTGCTTTGTATTGGGCCTTTAACTTCATTGCAAATTTGTGTGTTTTAAAAATACCACTAGTTATTAATGATAAAAATGTGTACTATCAGCATAGATGCAGCACAAACTTCCATTCTTTGTAATGACGTAAATATATAGTAAATGATTTGTAAAGTTAAAAAGAGTGTCATAAGTATAAATATGTCACAAGTATAAATATCCAAAATAAAAAATAAAATAAGTTTATTAAGAAATCAATACCTTGGAACATTTTAAGAAACTCCATGTATTAAAATTTGTTCATAAGGTTCAAAATGGGATGGGCTAAAGTACACAAAAGTAACAAAAAAATGATACTGCTTGTCAGTAGGTATTTTTTATTTATATTAGTACCTTTTTTATTTATGAAGTTATGATCTGTTAAAAATTAAATATATATATATATATATATATATATACATATATGTTTATATATATATATGTATATGTATATGTATATATATATATATATATATATATATATATATATATATATATATATATATATATATATATATATATATATATATATGTATATATATACATATATATATCTATATATAATACATCTATGTATATGTATACATATATATATGTATATATATATATATACATATATATATATATATACATACATATATATATATATATATATATATATATATATATATATATATATATATGTATATACATAACTGTTTCTGATTTGGTTTAAGTGGACAAGTCACATTAATGCGAGATGGTTATTCTGGTGGATATTCTGTTAGTTTAAGAAATTCTGATGGCAACACCAGCAATGATAATGAAGATTCTGTAGAGAGAAGAGGGAATAAATCTCCTTTGCCAAGTATTTGTGTTTAGTATTTTCTTAAAGGTAGAAATTTTTAAAATAAAATATTTAGTTGATTCTCTATCTCTTAACTATCTCAAACTCATAATTACTGATATACAACTTTTAATTCATGCTTAATTAGATACTTTACATACAGAATGTGTGGATTATTTGCTTTTAGCAACCCTTGGAATTAGGAAAAATGAGGTCAGCAAAAATTTGCCAACCTCAATCTGTTAGAGGTCAGCATCAGGTCGGCAAAAATTATTTGATGCAAACGTCTCACCATAAAACATAGAAACGAGGTTGGCAATTTTTGCTGACCTTAAACACTTTCAGGTTGGCAGACCCTAATTTCGATTAATTAATTCCATATTCATGTATATACATATATATATATATATATATATATATATATATATATATATATATATATATATATATATATATATATATATATATATATATATATATATATATATATATATATATATATATATATATATATATATATATATATATATATATACATATATATATATTTTTTATGTAATATATAAATTAGTAGAAAATCACTTAACAAAACTTTTTTCTTTTTTTTTTAATTTTTTTTTTAATTTTTTAATTTTTTTATTTTCATAAATGAAAATATTTTGTAAATTTAATTTATGATAATTTATTATTATCGCTCTTTTAATTTAATTTTAAATTAATTAAAGAGTGCTCGATGTTTTTTTAAGAACATCGAGCACTCTTTTATGTGGAATACATTTTAAAATTGTTTATATATATAAACAATTTTAAAATGTATTCCACAAAATATCATTTTTACAGATTTTTGATATTTGATCCTGAGGTCTCTCAAGGCCTCGGAACATGTTCTTTAGAATCGCAATAATCGAAGAATCATTTCTAAAAAGTTTTGATTGCTTTTAGTGGCTCTTAGTTGTATTAGTCGAGTTTTGATACTGTTTAGTGAAAGAATAAATTTAATTTTATCAATGAATATATTAAAAAAATGTTGACTTGAAGTAGTAAAAAGTGCGATCCATCACCACAGCAATGTACTGAAGACGAAAAGTCTGAAGAACAAAAAGAGAATCCTTTTCGTCAAGGTACTTCTAGCTCACATAAAGGAACTCCAAGCAGACCTGTGACAAGAAAGTTAACTGATTTCTGTTTAATTGGTCATCCTTCAAAATCAATTAATGGGTTCAAACTGCCTGATTGTAGGCAAATTACTAAACATGTCTCATTTTTAAGGAATGATCCAGAAAATATTAAAAAATAAAGTAAAGAATGAAGATATTGCTTATGTTGTGGTTGATGCAGTCTTTGTTTTTTGGAAAATGGCATGCATGAAAACTAAATACAGACAGAATTGCATGTTTGATGTTATGAAACTTATGGAATGAATGGCAGAGTTTGATAAAAAATAAAGGAAAAACAACTGACCCTGTTACACTGTGCTCTCCTGAGACCGCCAGGGTAAATTTTGGTTTACTCTAATTTTTTTTTTTATTACTATTATTGGGTTAAGTAAAGTGTTTTAAAATAATTTTTAAAATCTCAACTCACTTTTTAACATCAAAAATTGAGATTTAATGAATTAAAATATCTACATCATTTTAAGTTTACATATTCTTTTCAAAACGGATAAAAAGACTCTATGTTACCGTAACTTACGGCAATATTTCGTAAAGCATTCAGGTAAAAAACATGTTTTTTGTCAAAATGGCTGAAGCAAAATGTTTAATTTGTGCTTGTTGTTTTATTTCCTTTGGAAAAGGATCAAAAAAAACTTATTAAAGTAACTCCTGCAATACAACTTCATATTCAAAATTTATTTTGGAGAGAATATGATGTAGACAAAGAGTGTTGTCCGAAAAACATTTGTACTTCTTGCAAAACAAATTTATATGCATTGAACAGGGGGAAACATCAAAGTTGAATGATTGGATTGAAAAATATCTTCAATTAACAGACAAAAACTCAGAAGATCATCTTATTTTAGTGAAATATCTGAACAGATGGCAAATGATAATCAAGAGATCATCGATAGAGTTATTAAAAAGATATGTCCTTTATGCTTTTCTTTAATAGGTATTCTTCAGCAAATTTAAAGTGTTGTACTGTTTTTATTTTCAATTTTTTAAAAATAATCAAATTCTCTATAATATTTATATAATAACATATACTTTTAGAATTATATATGTATATATATATATATATATATATATATATATATATATATATATATATATATATATATATATATATATATATACATATGTATATCAGGCTTGGACAGGAATGGCGTGCGATCGCACTCTGTAACTGACCACGCTAATATTTTTATTTCTTTACAACTTGACCACGGCTATTTTGTGTTTTACCAATTTGAATGAAATAAAAAAATTGTTATGTTTTAAATATCTTTTAATCGTTGATCTTTTCTAAAGTTTTTTATTTTATGCAAAGGCTTTAAATAAAATTAATTATAGTTTTATTTTACATAAATGCTTGTGTAAACTAACAAAAAATGTTATAAATAAGTTTTTTTTATGTAGGCATTTATTTTATATGATAAATTTAAACGTTTGAAACTATTTTCTTATGTCTTCTTAAAACATTTTTAAACCATTATTTTTAAAAAGACTTTTTGTTACTTTAATTTGTGAATAAGTTCAAAAGCTTTTGTGACTACTAACTTTTACACATTTTATGTGAATTAAACAAGAATATAAAATAACTTATACAAGCATGTATTTTGTTGGTTTAATGAAAAAGTTTTAAAGCATTTTGTAATGTTCATACAATTAATTTTTATGATTAAACTTACGATTTTTTAAAATGTTTTAAAGAAACATTTTATTTTTTGTAAACAATTTTTTAATTTTCTTTTATTTTCAATTTCGTTAGAAATGAATGAGATTAAAATTTTTATAATAATTTTTAAATTCGTTACGCGAAGCGCTTATTAAAAATGTTGAATGCTCAAATTAAAATTAAATTAAAAAGCTTGATAGCAGTTTATTTTATTTAAGTCGCAGGCGCTTTTTTTTTTTTTTTGCAACTTTTTTGACAAAATAAATGTTTATACAATTTAAAAATATTTTATAAAACACTTTTTATTAAATTTAATAAAACTTGTTCTTTAATTAAACCAATCATTAGTAGTAATTTGTTACTTAATTTAAAAATGTTTTGCATAACTTTAATAACACTTAAAAATATAAGCTTTAATAACGTTTATTTCATACGTAATAAAAAATGTAACAAAAAGTTTTGCTTCCAGTTTAATATTTTTAACATTTTATATAATTTCTTTTTCATTATGAATTTGTTTTTCGTTTCTTTTTTTGTTTTTTTTTTTTTAATTTTTTTCCTAGTTTAAGTTTAGCTTAGTGTTTCTACATTCAGAACATTTCTGAAATTTTTAACTCATCAAAACATATAAACATTGTTTATTAAACATTCGTGGTCAAGTTGTCAAAAAATAAAATCATTAGCATGGTCAGCAATAGCGCTCAATCGCACGCCATTCCTGTCCAAGCCTGTATATATGAATGCTATTATTGTATAAATTGTTGCAATGTTAATTCAATATTAGTGCATTGTTTTTATGGTTTACAAATTTAATAATATAACTTTTTATTAAATATAATTTAATAAAAAGTTAGTAATAAAATGTTGTCATACTTTTAACTTTTATTCAGGTAAAGGAATTTCCCATTTTTGCTGTAAGAGTGAGGCTGTAAAAAACCTAATTATGTTGACAGAAGGTCTTGGAAATGTATCCAGTGAGCAAGTTGCTTCTGGGATTCTCAAAAAAAAAAAATGAAAAGGGACAATATTAAACCTGGAGATAAGTTTCCTTTAAAGACTTTTGGAAACAACCTTCTTGTTGTTGTTGACACACCTGATAATAAAGGTAGCAGAGCATGCCTTAAAAAATTGTCTTTCAAAGCTATAATGGAAATCTCAAATACTCTAAACCTAAGTAAAAGAAAAACAAAACTACTTTGCAAAAATATGCGACAAAACTTAGGGAAGATGATGTAAGAACCTAATATATCAACTCAGATTGAAGAGCTGCGTAACACTTTGTCAGATTTTTATGATGTAAAAACTGAATCATTTATTTCAGGGAATGAAGAGATAAGTCGCAGTTTGATATTTGTAAAAGATACTTCTGATTTAATTCTACGCATGATTAAAGAAAGAGGTTTGAATCCTTATTGCACTGTTGTTAGAATTTCAATTGATGCTGGACAGGGTTTTCTTTAATTTATTGTAAATGTTTTTGATCCATTATGCAAAAATACAACTTCAGAAAGTCTAGATGATTTTGGTGTAAAAAGATCATTGGTTTTAGCTTTAGTTGAAGATGTTTCAGAACATAATGGAAATCTTAGCAAACTATTGAAACCACTGGCGCTGAATGATGTAAAATATTCAATAGCATTTGATCTAAAATGTGGTAACTCTTTATTTGGTTTAAGCAGCCACAGTGGTAAATATGCTTGTCTCTGTGAGTGGAGAAAAAAGAACTTTAGGTTCAATTGATATTAATTACAATAAGTTTGCTGCAGATGGATGCAAAAATAATCACATGAAGGAATTTAAAAACTGTATTTCTCCTCGAAATGTATATCTTGATGAACCTTGAGAAACTTTATTGGAACATCTTATCCCTCCTCCAGAGTTACAAATTTTCATTGGTATTACTTCTATGTTTGTAAAAGTATTAATTACTTTGTGGCTTGATTTTGACACATAGCGTAAATCAAACTATATTATGTTTAGAGGTTACCATAGAATAGGTTTGGGCGGTAACAATTCACAGAAAATTTTAGATAAATTAGATGATCTAGAAGTTAATCTTCTAAGTGAAGCCTCTATGCAGCTAAATAAAATATTTATATTATATTTAGCTGCATATAAAATCTAAAACTGATTCAGCAATAGATTCTCTAATTACTGAGCTGAAACCTTTTTTTTTAATAATTGAG